ATCTTAGAAAACTTGTAAATTTGAATGCTTTCTACTTATATGTATATTTTTAGAAACTAAATAAACCATCTGTCAGTGTCATAACCTGGGAATGTCTTTCTGAAGGCCTTGGGAGCCGTCCTTTGGAATGTCAGCATCAAGGGAGGCAGCTCCTGCATCCCTCGATTTATTTTTATTATTTTTTCACTTTTATTATTATTTATTCATTTATTTTATTTTTTGAGACAGAGTCTCACTTCATTGCCCTCAGTAGAATGCCATGGTGTCAAAGCTCATAGCAACCTCAAATTCTTGAGCTCAAGAGATTCTCTTGCCTCAGCCTCCCAAGTAGGAGGAATTATAGGCACCTGCCACAATGCCGGGCTCTTTTTAGAGACAGGGTCCTACTCTTGCTCAGGTTGGTCTCAAACCACAGACCTCAAACAATCCACCACCTGAGCCTCCCAGAGTGCTAGGATTACAGGCATGAACCACCCTGCCCTGCTATAGATATGGTTTAGTTTTCCCCATCCCTTTGGATAAAGCCTATTATCTAACATAGATTTTTCACCCCAACTACCAAATAAAGTCAAGATGAACTGTGTATTTCCAAGCATGCCATCAAGTCCTCCTACTTAGGGCTAGTGTTTATCTTCATAGCAAGTACATACATAATAGGCTGAAACTTTAAAAATTTGCATCTGTCTTATAAGGTACATAGAGAATAAGTCAAAATCTTGCGATTGAGGACATATCTCTTTTTATTTATTAGGAAAAAAATTACATTCATGTTGTTCCCTTGAAAAAATTTTTTGAAGCAACAAATTCCCTATATAGGAAATAGATTCATGACTTTCAGGTATGGCCAGCTCATCCTCTGCTGTTCTGAGTTTAAGAAAAACTCCACAGTCAACTTAGCTCTTTGCTTTGGATTATAGAAATCTGTGTTAAAAGTTTTTCTCTTGTCAACTAGCTATTTAGCACTATTGTATAATTATAGACGTCTATAATTATAGATCTTGTAAAGATCCTCAAATCTATCCCAGATAATGTATCTTTCAGAAATATGCCAAGGCCATGCACTGTGGCTTATGCCTGTAACCCTAATACTCTAGGAGGCTGAGGAAAGAGGATCACTTGAGCTCAGTAGTTTGAGGTTGCAGTGAGTTATGATCATGCCACTGCACTCTGGTCCAGGTGACAGGAAGTGAAATCATATCCAGGAAGGAAAGAAGGAAAAAGCCAAAGGAAGAAAATAAAATAAAATAAAAGTTTAAAGAAAAGATGTTGGGATAGGGTACAATGAGATGCACCAGTGGTTCTTGGTCCTAGCTACTCAGGGGGGCTGAGATAGCAGGATTGCTTGAGCCCAAGAGTTTGAATTTAGTCTGGCCAACATAATGAGACTTGGTTTCTAAAATAATAATAATAATAACATAAAAAATGAAATATGCTGATATATCTTCTTGTTTTCATCTGTGTGCATTCTTCTCGTTATAACCTGTCAATATTTTAATTACAATAGTTTTCATATGTAAGCATGATCATATTTCAAATGATTACCACTTGAAGATGCATGAGGGTGTGAGAGTAAAACATATTTAATCAGTACATGTTAATTCAAAAAGATTGCCTGCAAACATGAGCCTATTTAATTTCTTTACCTTTTGAGACAGAGTCTCACTGTCACCCTGGGTAGAGTGCCATGGCATCATAGATAAAAGTAACCTCAAAGTCTTGGGCTTAAGCGATCCTCTGGCCTCAATCTCCCAAGTAGTTGGGACCACAGGCACCTGCTACTACACCCTGCTAGTGTTTCCATTTTTAGCAGAGACATGGTCTCATGTTGCTCAGGCTGGTCTCAAGGAATCTACCCACCTCAGCATCCCAAAGTGCTAGGATTTCAGGCATGAGCCCAGCTTGCAAAGTGTTCTTTAAAAGAGAATAACCCATCTACCCAACAACTTAGAAAAATTGCAGTCAATTATTTTTTAGCTCGATATATTCAAAGGTCATCTGAAGACCATTTAAAAAGCTTTGTTATCCACTCATGCCAAAATATTGAAGAATTGAAAACAAAGAAAAGACATAAACTATATTACAATTTTGAAGTAAAATTACGTTTTCTACTTACATACATAATACACCTAACATGAATTTGAAATTACAGTGTATTTAGAACACAGTATTAATGTAAGCATACTATGATATCACGAAATTTATCTTAAAAATATTTAAGGTTAACTCATCTCACGGGTGGAAGACAATAGCAAGTGTAAGAACACTTAAGGTAATTTCCATCTATTTTTTTTAAAGCAATACTTGCAGACCTAAGTTATCACTGGCCTTAGCCTTCCATGTCCCAGGCTTTGTCCCCGTAAAAGTCTCTGAAACTTAGCGCAAGATTGACGTTATCTTTCCAGAGTGAACCAGAATAGAAATAGAGAGGGCTTCTATTCTATTCTGTTGGGCGTCGGCATGGAATTATAAATTCTGCCCAGGCAGGGATTTGCATTTAGCATTTTATTAATAGTTTGCATCGCCTTCACAGATAGCTCCAGGGGTATTTTATTTAATTGTTAAACTTATTTTAATTGCAGGAATTTTCTGGCGCCCAACCGCAAACTGAAGATTCTCCCAGTCAGCTGCTGGTTCCCAGAGTTGGGGTCTGGGAGGGAGGTGAAAGCTCAGGCCCCGCCCACCCTTCGGCCCCGCCCACCGCGCGGGCCCCACCCAGGCCAGGGTTCTCAGCGCGGCTTCCCGCAGACCCGGAAGTTGATTGCTTGTGGAGAAGGCCATGCTGCGGTGGCGGGTGAGTTTTTCTTTATGAAGAATAAGTCTCTGCTTCGCACTCTCGCAGCGTCCTATACCCTGGATCTGGGGGCCGTAGAGACCTTGAAATACCCGCACGGCTCCTTCCACCCCGAGTAAATTCAGACGTCCCTGTGAGAATCCGGTGTCGCTTTCCTTTGAGTTAAAATCGCCCTGAGGCAGGTCCTGTCCCCGGTCTTTCTGTCATTGGGCCGTGGAGACACCTCCTTTCGCGCCACGTCTCTACTTAAAACTCGTCGGGGACTTCTGCACTTGCTCCGCGCCCCCTAAAGTCCTCACCCGCGAGGGGAGTTCACGCCCTTCGGTGCCCCCAGGCCTCGCCCGAGTCGCACCTGGAGGGCAGCGCCGCAGCCCCAGTCCCGGAGGAGCTGCGTCCTCTCCCTCGTTGTGAGGTTCTGCAGACCCTGCTTCTCTCCTAAGACACACTCTTCTCTTTCCCCCTTTGACTGGGTCTACTCGCCAAGCTTGTTCTCAATCACCGCTTCCTTCCATTCCGGGTTGGGGAAGGAGACCGGGGCTTGTGACACTGAATGTTCCTTCGTTCCACATTCCTCCCCACTAGAAAATGTGCTGTTCAGGAGGGTGAGCGTGTTATTCCTATAACTTCCGTGTGAATGTGTGGAGAAAGACAGAGATAGCAAGAGACAGGAGACAGAATGATTTAGAAAGAGAAAGGAAGAATAAGGGAGACACATGAACACTGCAAAGTAGAGGACTTGGGAGGGGTTTGCAAAGAGACAGGAGAGTGAAAGCCTAGAAAGTACAGGGAGAGAAAAGCTCAATCCCTGAGAGTTGGAGAACAGCAAAATAGGGAGCAAAGGGAGAGGCCTTGAGACAGTGTCGCCAAAGATGGATGATTTGGAGCCAGGGCAGACAGAGTAGCCTGGTGCTGGGACAAGAGAGGGCACTGGGTGACAAGGAGGGCAGATGGAGAATCACAGCAGGCAGGAAGGCTAGGGACCTAGGCTTGACCTTCAGCCCCTCTCCTCTTTGAAGTGGTTGGGGATGGAGTTGAAACGTCCCACCCGAAGTCCTGCCTTCGTTTTTGTCCATTGACAACCCCATCCGAAGCTAGCTGTCAGTCAGTCGCTGATGGACAAACAACACTACAAGGATTTGGGAAACTATATACTAGGAGGAATGAAGACCAAATACATACTTCCTAGCATCACAGTCCTCCACCCTCCTTCCAGTCCTACTTGGGAGCTACTGTTGTCAGTTTGGTGGCAGGAATCAGGAAAATTCTTACACAAATGTATTTACACCATGTTGTGAGAGTTTAGAGAAAAATTGTCAATGTTTTGTGATACTTCTTAGCGCAAGTTTCAGTTCACATATTTTCAGATACTATATGTTATAAGAAGTTTATTGATACTTTAGCAAACCTCTATTTTCTTTTCTTTTCTTTCTTTTTTTTTTTTTTTTTTTTGAGACAGAGTCTTGTTCTATCACCCTGGATAGAATGCCATGACATCACAGTTCACAAGAACCTCAAACTTGTAGGCTTAAAAGATTCTCTTCTCTTAGCCCCCAAAGTAGCTGGGACTACGAGCGTCCCCACCACAATGCCTGGCTAGTTTTCCTACTTTTGGTAGAAAGAGAAACTTTAGTAGAGAAGATCTCACCTTGCTCGGGCTGGTCGCAAACTCCTCAGGTGATCCCCCAGCCTCAACCTCCCAGAGTGCTAGGATTACAGGTGTGAGCTACCATGCCTGGCTCTCTATTTTCTTTTTGGTATGTGTGAAATTAGATTGATATTTCTTGAACATACAGTATTATCTGCAGATTGGGGTATTCATTACAGGCCTTGGGATGTCACCTGTGGACAAAGAGATTGTATCATATTCTGTATTCAGGACTGAGCATACAGGGATGAGGGGCTGTGCTCTGCATTGGGTTTGGGGCTGTGCCCTGGAGGGGATCTCAATGCTCCCCTACTGCTGCAGGGTTTGTGGGGGCTTTACCAGGAGGGCAGTGAGATCTGATGAAAGGGGTCAAAAACTTACTTCTTGGTCTTCTGCAGGAGTTTATTATCTTTGCATCCCTTCTGGTGCAGCAGACAGCAGAGAACAGTCTTTTCACCTGGTGAGATTTTTCCTAGGTGCATGATTGTAGCACAGAAAGGAGTGTATAGATTCTGAGCATTGAGCAGTGTACTGTTAACATTCAGGATTGACTTCTAAAGATTCATGATACATGACGAAGAAGCCAGAAGAGGAAGAAAAAAAAGAAAAAAATCAGAAATGGCTCTTACTCAAGTAAAGTGATATTCACAGTGGTTTGTTTTGTGTCTTTTTCCCTTCAAAAATGCTGGACATTGGACTTGGCTAATCTTCTTTGACTCTGCAGTGTCCAGACTGATATTTTTGCCTTTTTGTCCCTGCCTTCCTTTAGTCCCTCTCACCTACACTGAGATCCCATCTCACCATGACCCAGTGACATGAGCTTGTGAAGAGGCTCCATGGGGCAGGGTCCTGGGAAGGGCTTCACATCCAGACACAGATTAGAGATGGGGTGTGGCTATGTGGTGTCAGTGCTATGGGGTGGCAGAGATTATTCAAGGGCCATGTCTGGATGCATTGTTACTTTGCTGATCAGGATTAGAGAAGCTGCACACAGAAGTCATGGGTTAATGTGCACAAATACTGGTAAAACATGGAATGGAGACCAATGAGGGGAAATCTGTTCTTTCTGATTTTATACTACATTTGAAACTGCATTAAATTTGTAGTATTCAAGTCATGTTTGACTTCTGCAATTACAAGAGATACTGAAAGTGGCCAGTGAGGTGGCTCGCACCTGTAATCCTAGCACTCTGGGATACCAAGGTGGGTGTATTGCGCTGAGCTTACAGGTTTGAGATAAGCCTGAGCAAGAGTGAGAACCTGTCTCTAAAAATAGCTGGGCATTGTGGCAGGCACTTGTAGTCCCAGCTACTCAGGAGGCTGAGGCAAGAGAATCACTTGAGCCGAAGAATTTGAGGTTGCTGTGAGCTGTGACGCCATGGCACAATGTGACAAAGGTGACAAAGTGAGACTCTGTCTCAAAAAAAAAAAAGATACTGAAAGTGACTTGTATTTATCTTTTGTAATTGTTATATATTGAGTATTACAATTTTAATACAGTTTTTTTCTTTCTTAAAATGTGTATACATTTTGGGGGGCATCTCCATTTATAGTAGACCCTCCATAGTTGACCACCTCCCTACACTGACCACCTTCTTAAGTTGACCTAATTTTCATAGACCAGATACACACCACATGTACATAGTAGGCCTAATTCCTTATAATGACCACCTTCATGTGTTGGACAGTTTATATGACAATCTCTTGGGTGGTCAACTTATAGAGATTCTACTATATTTTCAAATATGGGTATTTAATAGAGATTAGAATTCATTTCTATATTTTTATGGTCTACCATTTTAAATAGATTAATATACAGTAATATTTAAATAACAATGACAGCTGGGTATGATGTCATGAGCCTTTGGTCTCACCTACTTGGGATGCTGAGGTAGAAAGATCACTTGAGCCCACTTGAGCCCACTTGAGCCCACTTGAAGGCTATAGTCTGAGATGACTACACTTGTGAATAGCCACTGTACGCTAACCTGGGCTAGATAGCAAGACACTGACTCTAAAAATTAAAGAAAAAATAATGACAATAAATATCATCTAAAAAATAGGTCATTGACAGACACTTCCTATTATTTGAGTTGATGTGTTTATGTGTATGAGTATGTAAGTGTGTACATGGGATGTGTGCCTGTATGCATGGCATGAATACATGCTTATGATTATCAGAGGCAAGCATTATTTTACATAAATTTTACATTTTTTTAACATTTTCAGTTACATCATTTTTTGAGACAGAGTCTCACTATGTCACCCTGTGTAGAGTGCTACACTGTCAGAACTCACAGCAACCTCAAACTCCTCGGCTCAAGCAATCCTCCCGCCTCAGCCTCTTGAGTAGCTAGGACTACAGGCACCTGCCACTATGCCTGGTTGGTTTTCTGTTTTAGTAGAGACAGGGTCTCATTCTTGCTCAGGCTTGTCTCGAACTCCTGAGCTCAAGTGATCCACCCATCTCGGCCTCCCAGAGTGCTAGGATTACAGGTGTGAGCCACCACACCTGGCCTGCAATTACATCTTAAATATTTTCCATGTTCTTAAAGCTGTTCTACACTGTCATGTTAATAAGTTGATAGTAGGCTGGGCACCTTTAGCACAGTGGTTATGGCACCAGCCACATACACTGAGGGTGGCAGGTTCAAACCCAGCCTGGGCCAGCTAAACAACAATGACAACTGCAACAAAAAATAACCAGGCATTTTGGCAGGTGCCTATAGTCCCAGCTACTTGGGAGGCTGAAGCAAGAGAATCACTTGAGCCTAAGAGTTTGAGGTTGCTATGAGCTGTGACACCACAGCACTCTAACAAGGGTGACATAGTGAGACTCTGTCTCAAAAAATAATAATAATAATAAATTGATAGTAGTAAAACTAGTAATGTATAATGAGCATATATGCGTGCATTTGTATATGACTTTTTTGCAGTTCTAGATTTTTATCCTTGAACTTGCTTCAACTTTTCTTAATTAGGTAATTCTCTGTCAATTTACTTTTGATACTGATCTGTTACTTAATTATTTGATACTTTCAGTTCTGTTTTCTAATGCCCACACACCTGATATCAATGCTTACTTTGCCCTTCTTTTATCTCTGAGACCTGAGGCAAGTTTCTTAGGGTATCTGAGACACAGTTGTGTCCTCAATATGATGGGAATAGACCTTTCTCTCATGGGCTGCTGTTGTTGTAGCAGGTAGTCCATGTAAAGCATTTAGAATAATGCCTAACATATGGGAATTGGTCAGAAGCTTCTGGTTTGGCTACTTCTATCATCATTACAGGTTTTAGATTCTGATTTTTTTTTTTTTTTGAGACAGAGTCTCACTTTGTTGCCCTTGGTAGTGTGCCTTGGTAGTGAGCATCATAGCTCAAACTCTTCAGCTCAAGTGATCCTCTTGCCTCAGCCTCCTAAGTAGCTGAGAGTATAGGAGCCAGCCACAACACCTGACTATTTTTGGAGACGGGGCCTCACTCTGGCTCAGGCTGGTCTTAAACTCCTGAACTAAAGTGATCCGCCCACCTCAGCCAATTCTGATATTTTTTGAAGCGAGTATGGACACAATCATCTTGAAGACAACACTTATATTCTAGATCAGATAGATACTAAATGTCACTTGGTGTGTCAAACAGAATAGCACCTGTGTTGCTTTGTAATTTGGATTTCTTTTATTGTCCACAAAGTGAGAAATCCAGATTGGTTCAGAGAATATCATAACTTCTTATGGAAAAGTGTAATAAGATGTAAAGACATATAAGGAGCTCCAATGTACCTGAAATGTGAATCCGTCAGAATGCTCACTTCAATTGAATCAATCCATGCAATTCTTTTCTAATTTTGCCTCAAGATAAGAATTCTCCTCATTGTCCGTAGGTGAAATATGTTTTTCATTTTAGGGACACTTGACATTCAGGGATGTGGCCATAGTGTTCTCTCAGGAAGAGTGGCAGTGCCTGGACCCTGCTCAGAGGGCTTTGTACAGGGCTGTGATGTTGGAGAACTACAGGAACCTGGTCTCCCTGGGTGAGAATAACGTGGCTCTCACAGTCGGGCTCTGCCCTGTGTGTCTTTGCGTTTTCTCTTCTGCACCTTGTGGGAGCCCCTGCATGGCTTGACTAAGACTGAAGCCTTATTGACTAAGAGTGAAAAGCTCTAAATACTTTCTAGACTTTCACAATCCCCCTTCTTCACCTATTGTGCCCCCTTCATGACACGTCATTTTGTGCTACCACAGTTTACATATGCAAAACACCCTGCAAGTGCCTTTTAAAATGTCCAGTTCCCCATACCTTTGATTCATTAGTTGTTGGCAGAGAGCCACATGTTTGAATAGCACAGTTTCATACACATTCAGAAAGAGGCCATCTGTGAAATATTTTTTCTTGATCCATTAGTAATGTCCTCTCTCTGACCTAAACATAGGGCTTGAATTTTGGCAAATCATAGCACTTCTTGATTCTTTGTTTTGATAAGTAGGACTCTCTCTTTCTGACCTGAGTGTTCTCTCCATGTTGGAGGAAGGGAAAGAGCCCTGTACTGTGGAGAGTGAAGTGAAAACACTTGAAAGAAGAAATTCAAACAGTAGTGAATGGATCAAAGGTGCACACTCAGGTAAGAGCTCAGGTGGGCACAGTAAAAGTAGCATCATTAAACAATGTGTGGGAAAGTCTGCAAGTGGGGAGTTCTGTGGGTAAAGAAAAGTTTGAGTCCTGTGGTCTCTGAGTGGAAATCTCTCTTTGCCCTTACTTAACCACTGTGTTCTTACAGATGTGTAATATTTATTTATCCTTCCACCCTCCAGGGGTGCTACAACTTAAACAGAGACAAAGGCAAAGTCCTTATCACGATGGACAACACCTTATCATCTGAGTTCTGTGAACTCTTTTCCATCTGATTATGTATGACAGGGAGAGCCATTTCCAAGGTGTCTTTTCTTCCCATGTTGTCTCCTGTACTTGGTTCCATCTGGTGCTCAGTTTTCTGTCCTTAGAGGTCAGAGCTGCCAGAGACCTGACACCTTGACCTCTTTGTGTTCTACCCTATTTCCTGTACTTGGAAGACCTAATAAGGAGGTAGGAAAACATTGGCTGCTATTTGCTTGTATCTGAGGCCTGGAAACCACACAGAGCTGTCTACATCTGTCTCTGATTAGGTCTGTTGAAATAAGAAAAAGCCAAAGTGTCTTTCCTCCTCTCACACACTGCTCAATGCATAGTGCTTCAGTTCTGGTCAGCTAAAAGTGTGGGGTTTCTCCCCACCAACAATCAAATTTTGGGTAGCCATCAAAGGGTTTCCTGTACTTCACTTCTGACCCTGTCTACCTGGACTTAGAGTCAGATCCAACAAGCTAAGGGCTGAGTCCCCAAGCCTGCTCCCCACCTCAGTCATCATTGGCCACTGCTCCAGCCTGATATTTGTCTTCTTATGACTGGCTTATTTCATTTACTGCAGTGTCCTCCAAGTTCATCTGTGTTGTAGTATGTAGACTATATATGTAGTATGTAGAGTTTCTCTTTTTTAGGGCCTAAGAATGTTCCTTTTTATATGTGTGCCACATTTTGTTTATCTGTTGGTAACACCTGGGTTGCACCTATCTCTTGGCTATTTTGACTAATGACATGAACATTGATTATTAAATATCTCTTATCTTCAATTCTTTTTTTTGGCCGTCTGATGCTTTGTCTTCTTATGAAACTCCCATAATGTGTGTCATTTTGCTTGTTAGTATCTCCTAAATCTCTTAGTGTTTGTTTGTTTTCCTTCATTATTTTTTCTTTCTGCTTGTTGAAGATGGTATTTTTGTTAACATGTCCTCAAATCTGTTCATTCTTTGCTCTGCTTTATTCAGTCTGCTATTGAATCTGCTAGTGAATCTTTTTTTAATTATTGTCATTCAGCTCCATAATTACTATTTTGCAAATAATTTCGCTTATATGTGATATTCTTCTTTCAAGTATTATTTTCTTTTATTCATGGTGTTGTGCATATCTGTTATCTTTTAGCTCATTAAATATCTTAGGATTGTCACTTCAATTATTTGTCAAGTAATTCAGAGGGCTATATTTCCTTAGGTTTTATTTCATAACATTTAATTTGTTCTTTTCATTTGACCATTCTTCCAGGCCTTTTGGTGGGCACTGCAATTTTTAGTGTGGGTTTGGGCCCTGGCAAAACAGCCACCTCTCTCAGTCTTTCTGCCCTAAAATTGTGCAGAGAGAGTCCTTTTATTCCTCATCCCGTTGTAAAGGATCTAAGAGTACTCCTCTTGTGGGGATGTATGTTTCCTGGGTTTTATTATGTACTATTACTAATGTTTATATAGCTGCTTTAAAATGTTATTGTTCCCTAAGAGGCTTATCCCTGCCTGTTGTAAGAAGTTTTTGGTTTGTATAGCATTTCTCTGATCATAATCTCTCTCAAACTCACCCATAATCTTCCTGGCTCCTGCAGATCCTCCACTGCTTCTATGACCCCCTTCACCCTCTTATGTTTTCAGCTTCACCAACGTGACATACTGAGTATGCTGATATTCCTTTCAATGTCTGAGTTAGCAAGGCAAATTCTAGTCCTTCTGTCAGAGAGTAGACATGCCAAAACCATGGGTTCAAGTTCTACTAATTCTTTCTTGCTTTCACAGGGAGAAGCCATACATTGGAAAGCGATACAGAAAACAAGCCTACTAACAATGGATGTGAATTAAACATTCAGTTATATCTGCCCGAAATGCAGCTATTTCAAGCTGAGGTGAAAACTCATGAATGTAATCAAGTCAAAAAGTACATCAACCATATTTCCTCATTTTCACAACTTGGAAACATTCCTTCTGTCAAAACCCACATTTTTAATAAATATAGGATTGATTTTGTTGCTTCCCCATTACTCACGTTAGAACAGAAAGCATACATTAAGGAAAACCCTTATAGATGTAATGATTGTGGCAAAGCCTTTAGTGTATCTTCAAGCCTTACTAACCATCGAGTGATCCATAACAGAGAGAGACCTTCCAAATGTAAGGAATGTGGCAAGGTCTTCAGGCACGATTCAAACCTTGTACGACATCAGAGAATTCACACTGGAGAGAAACCTTACAAATGTAATGAATGTGGCAGAGTCTTCAGATACAATTCACATCTTGCAGAACATCAAAGAATTCATACAGGAGAGAAACTCTACAAATGAATGTGGGAAGGCCTTCAATCGAGTTTCACTCCTTGCCCAACACCAGATAATTCACACTGGAGAGAAGCCATACAAATGTAACGAATGTGGCAAGGTCTTCAATCGAGTTTCACTCCTTGCACAACATCAGAGAATCCACACTGGGGAGAAACCTTACAAATGTAATGAATGTGGCAAAGTCTTCAATCAGATTTCAAGTCTTGCTCGTCATCGAACAATTCATACTGGAGAGAAACCTTACAAATGTAAGGAATGTGAAAAGGCCTTCAGCCATAATTCAAAACTTGCAGAACATTGGAGAATTCATACTGGAGAGAAACCTTACAAATGTAATGAATGTGGCAAGGTCTTCAGTAGAGATTCACGTCTTACTCGACATCGGAGAATTCATACTGGAGAGAAACCTTATAAATGTAATGAATGTGGTAAGGTTTTCAATCAAATTTCACACCTTGCCAGACATCAGAGAATTCACACTGGGGAGAAACCGTACAAATGTAATGAATGTGGAAAGGGCTTCAGTCATAATTCAAATCTTACAGAACATTGGAAAATTCATACTGGACAAAAGCCTTATAAATCTAATGATTGTGGTAAAGTCATCAGTCAACTTTCACACTTTGCTCAACATTGGACAGTTCATACTGGATAGACACCTTAGAAATGTAATGAATATGCCAGAGCATTCAGTGTGTGTTCATATCTTCCCATCAGATTATCCACAATCCATATAAACCTTAACTAGTATAATGAATATGCCAAGTGTCTTCATCAAGAAATTATCCCTAATAGTTTATCAAAGTTTATACTGGGGAGAAACCTTACAACTGTATCAGCATGGCAAACTAGAGAAAATTTACAACTGTAATCATTGTGGCAAGATCTTCAGGAAAATCATGTCCCTTACAGTTTATCAGGGAATTCATACTGGAGGGAAATTTTACAAAATGTGATGAATGTGGCAAGGTCTTTAGTTGCCATTCACATCTTGCATGATGTTGCGGCAGTCATATTGGACAGAAAGAACCCTTACAAACAACTGTGACCATTAGTCACAATTTCCACCTTGCACATCATCTGAGATTCATTCATGACAGAGCCTTTAAAATTTTAGTGAGTATGGCAGACTCTTCATCATGAGTAGTAGGATTAATCAACATCACAGAATGCATACTAAGGAGAAATCCAGTACATGTATCAAATGCTGTATTCAGGCCTCAGTACATTGAACATCGAGTGTACAATATCTTCAATAAAACCATGAAATGGAATGTCCTACATCTTCACTGAAACCATACAAATGGAATATGGTGATAGTGTAGGACATCAGAAAATTTACACAGGAAATAACTCGGTCTTTTGTTCTCCAATATTAATCTATGATACTAGTTGGTGGAGATAATTACAAGTCAAAATAAGTTGGATCTCATCACATGATATATAGCATGGGTAAGAAGACATGGGGAAATGGTCAGTTATGACTACAAGTATAATGACTGTAAGTATTGACCTAAATTTTTTTCAACCTGAAATTTGAAATCTCTCCATATGCTTTCCATAATGATGTGTCATTCTGGTGTCTCAGAAACAATGAGTTGACAAGCTGACCTGATTAGTGAGAATCATTTCTAGCCAGTTTTCTGAAAGAATAAGGACACTTTTGTTTTTTGTTCTATGTTTTTATTTTATTTTTTACTTTTTTGAGACAGAGTCTCACTCTGTTACCTAGGCTACAGTGCTGTGACATCAGCCTAGCTCACAACAACCTCAAATTCATGGGCTCAAGCTATCCTCCTGCCTCAGCCTCCTGAGTAGCTGGGACTACAGGCACCCACCATAATGCCCAGCTGGTTTTTCTATTTTTAGTAGACATGAGTAGACAAGTCTCACTCGTGCTCAGGCTGGCCAGGATTACAGGTATCAACTAATGTGCCTGACCATAGTTCTCACGTTTTTAACTGAAAAATACATATTTTTTATAATTGAATCACATTTTTTCTACCAATAATATTCCACTCAGGTGGATACTTCATAACAGTAATAATATACCTTTATCTAAAACGTTTATGTGTGGGTGTGTGGGAAATCAAACAACATATACTTTTTGGTACATATGCTTAGGCCAGTATGATTTGGGATAGTCATTATTGGCACTTGGGTTATTCTCTACATTCTACATTCTTGTGTGTGTACAGTGAAAATCCCTTAGCAGTGCAACTGCAGACTCTTACATCCTCAAACATCCTTTGCTATTGATAAACATGCACTATATTGTTATATTTATATATGCCCCCTTCTTGTGTGCTACATAAGACCCATAGCATGTACCTCCATTTTCATGAAACAAAAATAGTAATATGGAAAATATTACAAAATTTTAAAAAGTGATGAATAAGAATAAGAATACCATCTTTTTTGTCCTTGGAGTGGCTAGTGGTGTAACTTGAAAATAATGTTCACAAACTTCCACGTATGAATGAGCATGCAGAATGGAAATTTGTTTTGGTAGATAAAGTAGGAACTTTTTATATTTACCATTATCACATTTTTGTACATTCGATTTTTTTAAAGTTCAGATTAATATAAGGGTACATAAGATTGGGTTACATTGTTGGATAGTGTCTCAGCTTACCATACTCTGATCCTCTCCTACTCTCTCCTCCCTATTTCAGTTTAATTGTGTTTTTCTTTTGTGAGAGCCTATAGTTCATCTATTAGTTGATACATTCATCTTTTAACCACTTCACTGGAACTTGGTTAAAATGCACCTAACATTCAGTTTGGATATTGAGAGTGATTAACACTGTACAGTGAAGTGTTATGAGAATTTTTATTACATAATGAGGCTTTCTAGGGAAAGTAATTTGTCCAAAACTGGCTTTATTGAACTGGACATATAAGGCTGACTTTCAGTATTGTGTTTGCTAAAGGCTGTGGTTAAGATGGGGATATCCTCATGTGGTATAAACTTCCAGTTGGTGCCAAAGGCGGGAATACTCAGGCTTCACTGTCAGCTTGACCAGGTAGGCAGAATAAAATCAGGGAGTGCAGAGGTATAAAAGATGTTAATAGTCAACCATCACACAATATAGGCCGACTCTTTAGTACATGCTGTATCTTTAGTTTTCAAACTCTCAACTTAGGTAGGAAAGGCCCTGATTTTCTCATGGTAATAGCATACCACATTCCTGTCTGGGGTACAGACATAGGTCTCATTGCACAATATGACTTAGTGAAAAATGTTTGTGAAAGACTGCTTAAATTGCCTAACAAGGTTTTGTACTACTTTAATGAAAATTATTATGTCGAAGTTTATTATACTATAATGAATATGATTAATGAATTTTACTAGAAGAGCATTCTTACAAAAGGGATAGAAATGTTATTTTGAGGAATGTATTCCATGGTTCATTTTCAACTGGAATGAAATTTTTCTGTGTGTTTTTGTGTATAGTTCTATTACAGTTAGAGGTCCTTCTCAGAACAGAAGGGAGCCCCCTTATGGGGCAGTGAGAAGGATTTTAAATGTTCAAGACCTTGGTATGCAACCAGCATTGTCTTAAGGTCAGGTTATAAAGGTTAATCATAAACTGCTGTCACAGAAAGGTAAGCAGAAACAGTTTGTGAGACATCCAGCTTAGTAATTCACCTTCTGGGTGTGGACAGTTCTGGGCCAGAACTTGCTGATGACTTCCCTGTTCAGAAAGGTTAAGGTCTGGTAATGACCAAAATCACTGCACAGAGGTTATCTCAACCTTTCCTTTTCTGCCTTCTCCCTTGATTACTTGGACATTTGCAGACTTTGAGGTTGAAGTATTCTTCCTATTGCAGCATTTTTTTTTGAATAAAATCTCACCTAACCTATCTAAATGCATTTTTTAACACTAGCAAATATTTTCATTGTTCAATCCATGTTAGAATACACACCTTATCTTTTTGGTGGCACAGGCTATGATACATAATAGGTGACAGTACTTCCTGATTAAAACAATTTTTTTTAATCTTTAGTAATTTATCTTTCCGAGTCAGCTCATACTACCCACTGAACATAGCCAATAAATCAAGAGTCAATATGTTGGGTCCAAAAAAAACACCTTTAATTCAGAAAGCCAGCAAACTGGCATGGCAGACTGATGTCCTAAAGAACAATCTTAGGTTAGTATGAACATCAGGCTCCTTTTAATGTTAAGGGAAGTGGGAAGAGGAAAACAGTGAGAAGAGAAACTTCTCTGAAGAAGACAGGTGCACAGCCTACAGACATATGAAAAAATGCTCATCATCCTTAATCATCAGAGAAATACAAATCAAAACTACTTTGAGATATCATCTAACTTCAGTAAGATTAGCCCACATCACAAAATCCCAAAACCAGAGATGTTGGTGTGGATGTGGTATAAAGGGAACACTTCTACACTGCTGGTAGGAATGCAAACTAATACGTTCCTTTTGGAAAGATGTTTGGATAACACTTAGGGATCTAAAAATAGACCTGCCATTCAATCCTACAATTCCTCTACTAGGTATATATCCAGAAGACCAAAAATCACATTATAACAAAGATATATGTACCAGAATGCTTATTGCAGCCCAATTCATAATTGCTAATCATGGAAGAAACCCAAGGGCCCATCAATCCATGAATGGATTAATAAATTGTGGTATATGTACACCATGGAATATTATGCAGCCTTAAAAAAAGATGGAGACTTTACCTCTTTCATGTTTACATGGATGGAGCTGGAACATATTCTTCTTACAAAGTATCTCAAGAATGGAAGAAAAAGTATCCAATGTACTCAGCCTTACTATGAAACCAATTATAGCTTTCATATGAAAACCATAACCCAATTATAGCCCAAAAAGAAGGGGAGAGGAAAGGGAGGGAAGGGGGGAGGATGGGTGGAGAGAGGGTAATTGGTGGGACCATACCTACAGTGCATCTTACAAGGGTACATGTGAAATTTACTAAGTGTAGAATATAAATGTCTTAACATAACTAAGAAAATGCCATGAAGGCTATGTTAACCAGTTTGATTAAAATATTTCAATATAAAACCAGTACATTGTACCCAGTGATTGCATGAATGTACACAGCTATGATTTAATAAATAAATAAAATAAAAGATTTTTAAAATTCCTGGTAGAAATAAGGGTATTTAATAAGTTAATAATCAAGTTTTACCTTCTTTAGGATTTTTTTTTTTGAGACAGATTCTCACTTTCTTGCCCCTAGTAAAGTGCAGTGTCATCAAAGCTCACAGCAACCTCAAACCCTTGGGCTCAAGTGATCCTCTTGCCTCAACCTCCCAAGTAGCTGGGACTACAGGCGCCCAAGACAATTCCCAAGTATTTTTTAGAGATGGGGGTCTAACTCTTGCTCAGGCTTGTCTGGAACTCATAAGCTCAGGCAATCCACCTGCTTGGCCTCCCAGAATGCTGGGATTACAGGCATCAGCCACCGCACCTGGCCTTTCTTTAGGATTCTTTTGACGGAGAATAACCTGCCTTCCATATGCCCTTGGAACTATTGCAAAATTATTCTGTAGGGGAGAATAAATGCAAATATCTTTGTTATCTGCACATGCCAGAACATTCAGAAAGGGAAAAACAAAGCCCTAAAATACTTTATAATTTTAAAATAGTGTGTTTTCAGAATGCACATGAAGTCTATTTGAAATTACAGTATATTTAGAAATTAATGACATAACAATATTATGATCCCAAAGTTTATCTCAAAAGCATATTAGGTTAACTTATCTCCAGTGGAATAAAACAAATGTGACAAATGTAAAGAAGATAATATGTTCTTCTAAAGGTTGTTGCTTCTTTAAGTTAATCTAACTTACTACCCTCATTTAGCTCGCCATGCCTAGCACCCCAGGTTGATTCGGGAATAGAAGTAGAACGAATTTCCATTTTGTTCTGTTGGGTGTCAGCATGAAATTGCACATCCTGCCAACGCAGAGATTTGCATTTCACATTCCAGTTTGCATCCCCTTCACAATTACCGGGGTTTATATTTAAATTGCTAAAATTAATTTGAATAGCCGGAACTGTCTTGGACGCAATCGCCATCCCATGTGCTTTCCGCCAGAAACGTCCCATTCCACTGAGATGCTCTGAGAGCCAGCCGGAGGAGGGTCAGGGGCCTGCCCCTATCTCTGGCTCCGCCCGCCCTGCCCGATTCCGCCCTAACTCGCTGGCCCCGCCCCGGCTCGCGCCGTGGTGCGTGCGCAGTTTTCTGGGACCCGGAAGCCGGTATCGCGGAGTGATCTGAGTGTTGCGTGCGTGAGTCTTTTTACCTGTTTTAGGATTAATCCTGGGCTTCGCCGTCTTCGCCCGCTTCCATACTAGGGATCTGATGTTGGGGTTTGTACAGAGGATAGACATTAAATCCTCACACTGTTCCCTTCACCTCCAGTAAATCGGACGTCGCCGTGAGGGTCCGGGATTGCGACTCCTCGGGCAAAATCTCACTTGGGCTGGTTCTCTCCCTCTACCTCGGTCTTTCTGCTTTCGAGCCATGTAGACACCTCCATTTCCCCGTTTTCCTTCACTCCCCTCTCCGCCTGCCCCGCGTAAAGTCCTCCCCGGTGGGGTAGATTTGAGCCCTGCCGGCCCCCAAGCCCTGGGGGTCTCGGCCCCTGGACCGAGCGCCACAGCCCCTTCCAGGGGACGCCGCGGGCTCCTCCTGGTCCTGCGGTTGTGCGGACACTAGCCCTGCCTACATACACCCCCGCGCTCGCCACCTTGGAGCGGGCCCCACCGCTCTCTTCATGGTCACTGTTACCTCTGATCCCGCCCTGGGGAAGATGACCTTGGGCCTGCCTTGAGACACCCAGTGTCCGTTCTTCCTAAATGACGCCTACTAGAAAATGGTGCTCTTCTTGGAGTTGGGCATCTTACTTCATTCCCCTCCCTTGGAATGTGTGGGTACAGGGAACCGCGAAGAAATAGCAACTGAGAGGAAATAGAACTGAGGGAGTGAAAAAAAGAATGAGACCCCTAAACAGATGGCAAAATAAAGGGTGGGGAGGGATTTGCAGAGACACAGTGCGAGTGAAAGAAGACGACGGCATGGGGTGAAAAGTAATTGGAGAAGTTTTGAGAAAAGCTTTGTGTCCCAAGAGATGAAGGACTTCGAGAGTGGCAGGAAAGGGGGAGGCACCTCAGACAGTGGGGGAGAGGGATGGATGATTTGGAACCAGGGTAGACAGAGCTGAGTGGTTCAAGGACAAGAGGAGGCATCTGAGGATTAGAGCAGAGAGGGAACCACAAAAGGGAGGAAACCTAGAGACCTCCCCTCCCCTCCCCTCCCCATCTGAGCACTATTCCACTGATATTTTCTTTTTCGGAGTTACCTCTGATCTTATTTGTAAGTCCAGTATTTAATTTACTGTCCTCATCTTTCTTTTCCTGTCAGCAGCGTGTTGCACAGTTGAGCTCTCTTATCTTGCCTTGAGGACATCCCAGTCATCTTCAGAAATCCTTTCCATTTAATGTTGTTGTCACCTGCCTGATCATTTAGAGCTTTCCTCTGTTGGTGCCTCCTGAATCCCCTGTTGTCTGAATGTAAAGTGACCCCTAGTTTGATCCTTGAACCTCTTCTCATCCTGTCCTTACCCACTGCTTTATCATCTCATGTCATGGTTTGAACGCCACCTATATCTCTCCATTTCCCCTGCAGACCTCCCCCTCTGAATTCTAGAATCATCTCCAGTTGCCTCTATGACTTCTCTGCTGGGCCATCTGACAGGTATCTCCACGTTCATATGTCCAAAAGTAACTTTCTGAACTCACCCAAACATGTTCCCCTTTTATTCTGACATCTCAAAAGAAGAGTACCGTGCACTTCCTGGGGCTTTATTAGCATGTATTTTAAGTATCTGAGATAAGTACATTATTCCTAAGTGTTGTAATTTTTTTGTTGTTGTTGCCCTGGCTAGAGCGCTCTGGCATCATAGCTCACAGCAACCTCAAATTCTTGGGCTGGATCAATCCTCCTGCCCAAAGAGTGGGGCTATAGGTGCCCACCACAATACCCAGCTACTTTTTAGAGACGAGGTCTCACTCTTGCTCAGGCTGGTCTCTAACTCTTGAGTTCAGGCAATCTACCGGCCTTGGCCTCCCACAGTGCTAGAATTACAGACATGAGCACCATTCCAGGCTTAAATTTATAATATAAATAAATACAGCCAGGCATGGTAGGTATAGGTAGCATGCCTATAATCCTAGCACTCTGAGAGGTGGACATGGGTGGATGACGAGCTCACAAGTTCGAGACCAGCCTGAACAAGAGTAAGACCCTGTCTCTACTAAAAATGAAAAACTGAAGCAAGAGGATCACTTGAACCCAAGAGTTTGAGGTTGCTATGAGCTATAGAATGCCATGGCACTCTACCAAGGGCAACAAAGTAAGACTCTGTCTCTAAATAAATAAAAATATATATATATTTACTTAAAATAGGTGAGGAAATACATTGTGTCCAAAGTTCTAGGTCAGTGGTTCTCAACCTTCCTAAGGCCTCCTAATGCGACCCTTTAGTACAGTTCCTCGTGTTGTGGTGACCCCCAGCCATAAAATTATTTTTGTTGCTACTTCATAACTGTAATTTTACTACTGTTATGAATTGTAATATAAATATCTGATATGCAGGATATATTTTCATTGTTACAAAGGGGTCACAACCCAAAGGTTGAGAACCACTGTTTTAGGTGAAGGAAAGGAATATGTGCAAGCCGGGCCCTCACTGCTCTGTCCTGAGGGCCTGTCTGGCCTCCTCTCCTGCTTATGTCATCCTCACTCTGCTCCAGCCACATAGGCCTCTTTTCTTTTCCTGGGAACATGGGATCTCCTGCCTCAGGGCCTTCACATGAACTGTCCCTCTGTCTCAACCTCTCTAGCCCCTCAGCTGCAGATGACACCTCAGGCTGTGTGCTTCTGACATCACCTTCTCAGTAGAGGCTTCTCTGACTTCCCCTAACTTGGCATTCTAACCATACCCTCTCTCCCACTTCTGGTCTTTATTTCCTACTCTGCATCTTGCTTTTTCTTCCTTTGTGACCCCCTGTCTGGACAATGGTGGTAATAATATCCTATGGGAAGAGCAGAGCCAGAAGGAGGGAGGGGCCATGCTCTGCCTCAGTAGAGGGGAACTCAGGCTGCCCTGCAGCCCGGCTCCCTCACTTCTGCAGTGTGTGGGCTTCATTGGGAGGGGGGCAGGGTCTGATAAAGGGGTCATTGCTAATCAAACTAAATCAGCAGTTGGTCATCCTATATATTGTCCCTGTATCCTGCCTTCCAGTACTGTGGGTCACAGAAGACTGTGCACAGAGTGAGGTCTTGTGTGTGGCTTGTAAGCGTTAAACCTCATATTTTTGACAATCAGGATTAACATCTGAGGATTCATCATACATAAAAAAGAAGGCAAGAAGAGGAAAAAACAGGAGTCAGGAATGGCTTTTACTCAGGTGAGGTGGTGTTTTGGGTGAATCATTCTGAGTCTCCTCCCTTCTGAGGTACTGGGCACTGGATGTGCCGATCTCAGACTCTGAGGTGTCAGAGTCATCATGTCTCAGACTCTGACATATTTCCTGGCACTTACTTCCCTAGGTCCTTGTCATCTCTACTTAGATTCCATTCCACGGTGACCCAGTGGCATGACCTTGCTAACAGGCTGCATTAGACATTGTCCTGGGAAGGGGAAGGGCTTCACACCCAGATGTACATCTGGGACAGGTTGTGGCCCCCTGGGGTCAGCTGTTGGGAGAAGTGACTGTTTAGGGGCCATGTCCAGATGCACTGCCAGGTTTCTGTAGACTGGGATTCATGAAGGTATGTGTAGAAGTCAGGTGTTAATGTGCAAAATTACCTGGTAGATTCTGGAAAGGAAACCAATAAGGGAAACGTTATTTTTAGGCTGGTATTGTTTTGCATTCACTGCTAAACTCTAATGTGTCAGTATGTCTCTGACTCCAAGCTCTTAATGACTTGGAATGGAATGGAAAGTTGAAACACCAGTGACAGAGGATGCTTTCTTCTGTCATTAACTTTAAAATAAGAAATTAATACCTAAGTGCAGGAGATTCTTAAAATCATTCTCAGCACTCATCCCATGGGCACTGGGGTATTTCTGTAGACTTTTGTGCTGTAGGTATTTTAGATTAAAATTGGTTAGTATTTTCCTCAGAAATCAGAGCAGAACTTCTTTGTCATTACAGAAGATGGACCCATACTCTCTTCCCACCTGCTATTATTAAACGTTATGTTCTGTTAACTTCACGTGATTTATGTATTTGTTTTCTGGTAAACATGCAGGCAGAGATGCTCTTAAGTTCCGAGACACAAAGCATCTCCTATCCTCTGCAAATGGGGACCCACTATTGTCAGTTCTCTTGCAAGCATCAGTGCAAGTATTATACAGATGTATTTCTGTAATGTCGTGAGATTTTGGAGAAAGTTCTTCAGTGAATGGTTTGTTGAGATATTTTATCCTGCATGTGTTTTTTTTTTTTCTTTTTTTGAGACAGTCTCATTCTGTGACACTTACTAGAGTGCTGTGGTGTCATAGCTCACAGCAGCCTCAAACTCCTGAGTTCAAGCATTCCTCCTGCCTCAGGCTCCTGAGTAGCTGACTATAGGACCCCACTACAATGTCCAGCTAGTTTTTTCTATTTTTAGTAGAGATGGGGTCTCATTCTTTCTCAGGCTGGTATCTCCAACTTGAGCTCACGGGGTCCTCCGCCTGCCTTAGCCTCTCAGAGTGCTGGGATTACAGGTGTGAGCCACTGCACCCGGCCTATCCTGCATGTTTTGAAAATTTACATGTTTTCATGTTAGGAAACAGGATAGCTTGTCAATTTACATCCTCCTTTGTTTGTTCTCTTAAGACAAGGGCATCTCCTTTTTTCCTGGTTTTAAAGAAAGAGTGCCTGTGTGTGAGCACATGGATGTCTGAGAACTTGTGTTGCTTCTTCTAGCTGGGGTTATTTCCTGTTTTCTTGGATCTGGGGAGATTTCTCTGCAAATCCCAGCTGGAAATGTACCCTCCCACACCAACACCATGTGATAGTGCCCACTCACTTAAGTAGAAGGTGGTACACATACTATGTTCTTTTTGTATTTGGATTATGTGGAGACAATGGTAACTCTTTATGTTTACATTTTTTTTTTAGAGACAGAGTCTCACTTTGTCACCCTCGGTAGAGTGTTGTGGTGTCACAGCTCACAGCAACCTCCAGCTCTTGGACTTAGGCAATTCTCTTGCCTCAGCCTTCCGAGTAGCTGGGACCACAGGCGCCTGCCACAACACCCAGCTATTTTTGTGCACTTTGGCCGGGGCCAGGTTTGAACCCACCACCCTCGGTATATGAGGCCAGCACCCTACTCACTGAGCCATAGGCGCCGCCCCTATATTTACATTTTTTAATTCCTTGGGAATCTGAGTAGGTTTCCTTAATTTGTAGACATGTATATATAAAGTGTTTTTAATACTATACTCAATTTTCATGTATTTTAAGAGCTATTTTGGGGCAGCACCTATGGCTCAAAGGAGTAAGGTGCCGGCCCCATATGCCAAATGTGGTGGGTTCAAACGCAGCCCTGGCCAAAAACTACAAAAAAAAAAAAGAACTGTTTTTTTATTCTGTAGTTTATTTATACATTGGAGTTACATTTTTTTCATGTTACTTTTTTTAGTATAAAACAGAAGTCTATGTCTCTTTTTCTCCATTTGTTTCTTCTTTTTTTGACAGGCCTTGTTTAGTGCATGATTATAAAATACTGTGTTTCACTGAGATCTAATTTTATTGTTTATATCTGGAAGGCCAATGAGGGCAGATCTCCTGAGCTCACAAGTACGAGACCAGCCTAAGCTAGAGTGAGACCCTACCTCTAAAAATAGCCGGGCGTTATGGTGGTCACATGTAGTCCCAGCTACTTGGGAGGCTGAGGCAAGAGAATCGCTTAAGCCCCAGAGTTTGAGGTTGCTGTGAGCTATGATGCCATGGTATCTACCGGGGCAACAAAGTAAGACTTGTCCCATACATACATAACATACATAAAATTTTGTTTATATGTGTATTTAATTTGGATTTTTTCTTTTTTTTTTTTTTGAGACAGAATCTCACTGTGTCGCCTTTGGTAGAGTGCTGTGGTGTCACAGCTTACAGCAACCTCCAGTCTTGGGCCTAAGCAGTTCTCTTGCCTCAGCCTCCCAAGTAGCTGGGACTACAGGCGCTGCCACAACGTGCCGCTATTTATTTATTTGGTTGTAGTTGTCTTTGTTGTTTGGCAGGCCCAGGCTAGGTTCGAACCTGCCAGCTCTGGTGTATGTGGCTGGCACCCTAGACCCTACCCTTAGCTACAGGTGCTGAGCCTAGATTTTTTTTTTTTTTTTTGAGACAGAGTCTCTGTTGCCCTTGGTACAGTGTCGTGGCATCACAGCAGCCTCAAACTCTTAGGCACAAGTGATGCTCTTGCCTCAGCCTTCCAAGTAGCTAAGTCTATAGGAACCTACCACAACACCAAGCTAGTTTTTCTATTTTTAATAAGGACAGGATCTCACTCTTGCCCAGACTGTTTTTGAACTACTGAGCTCAGGGGATCCTCCCACCTCGGCCTCCCAGAGTGCTGGGATTATAGGCATGAGCCACCTCACCTGCCCCAATTTGGATTTTTATGTGTAACTTTTAGGTATTGTATTTGACTCATTTTAAAGTTTCAGGTAATATATGTCATAATTATTTGGTTTGGTAATCTCATCTGTGTTCTGTTTCTCTCTTTTTTTCCTTGCAAGCTAACAAGATAGCTTGTCCTTTTCCTTTACTAGATGTTTTGGTTTTCCTTCTACTGAAGGCAGATTTTATTGAAATTAGACTATTTCTTTTATGTTTAATGGCTGTTAATGTCTGTATTTATAAAAGTCCTGATGTCACCTCATCTGAGTATGTCAATTTTTGATCATGTATTTCAGTAGAGTTTTTGTGTTTGTTTTAGTAGTGTTAGGTATATTTACATATTGTGCACAGATTTTTGAACTTTTCATCTTGTAAAGTTGAAGCTGTATGCCACTAAGAATGAATTTTTCCTTTTAGACCAGGTCTAGTAGGGACCAACTCTCTCACCTCCTGTTTATCTGAGGAAGACCTAGTTTCTCCATGTCTTTTGAAGGAATGTTTTCCTAGGTATAATATTTTTAGTTTCCGGTTGTCTTCCTTTCACACTTTAAATAAATCATTGCACATCCTTCTGGGCCACAAGGAATATCTTGGGCATAGGGGCTCCTGTGTAGACTTAGCTTTTTTCTTGCTATTGTAAGATTTTTTCTTTCTCTCTGAACTTTGACTGTTTTTTTTTATGATGTTGGTTGTTGTAGTTCTCTGAGGTTCATCCTATCCAGGTATCTTTAAGCTATTCAATTTGTATGTCCATGTGTCTTCTGAAATTTGGGGCGTTTTGAGCCATTGTTTCGTCAAACAGGGGTTCAGTCCCTTTTTCTTTGTCACCTTCTTCTGGGACTTTAACAATGTGTAAGATGTTGCCCTTCGTGGTATCCCATTAGTCTCTTAGGCTTTCTTCATTTTTTTTTTTTTCTTCTGCTGCTTTTCTTCTTACAAATTCTTTGCCTGGTTAAGTCTGCTTTTGAACCCATGTATTGAGTTTTTCAGTTCAATAATTATATTTTATACTCGAGAATATCTTCTTAATCCTTCTTCATAGCTTCTATCTCTTTGTTAACTTTTTCATTTTATTCATGCATTGTTTTCAAGATTTCAAGCTGTCATTGTGTGCTGTCTTATTACTCATTGAACATCATTATGACTCTTATTTTGAATTCTTGGTCTGGTTATTTATAAATTTCTATTTCTTTAATGTCAGTTTGTAGTGATGTTTTTCTCTTTGTATCATCTGTATTTTCTTTTCTATTTGTGTGTCTTGTTATCTTTTGTTAGTACTTTGGTAGTTCAAAATAAAACCATTCTCCCCATTTTTGGTATCTGGATTTATTCAGGAAAGACGTTATTCAAACAACCTGGCTCAAAATTCTTGGCAGTTCTCAAGCCTTTTCTATGACTATGTGCTGTGTAGGCTTATGATCTGCTAACTGAAGTTAATTTAAGTGTGTGCATACGTGATATATGTTCATAAATATATGGATGGCAAGCCCATGGCTTTTATCAAGGAGACATCATTTGAAATAAGTTTTATATTTTGCAATAGTCAAAATCATGTTAAGTATTTTCCGTAGGCTTAAATTTGTTCTAAACTGTCATGTTAATGAAGTAGTAGTAATAAAAACAGTAACACTGTGTACATGCCTGTGTGTGTATACAGTGAGCTTTTATAATGTTTCATGTTCTTACTCTTGAAGTTTTCACATTTTTTCTATTAACTAGACCTCTGCCAATTTACTTGAAGCTGTATCTATTATTTAAATCATTGTTTCTTTACGTTCAGACCTGAATCCTAATCCCCTGGAGTCAAGCACCTGCTCTGCTATTTTTAGTTCTTTGATTTCCTGCCAGTTTCTTGGAACATCTGTGAAGGGGATTGGCTTCTAGGAAAAACCTTTCTATCATGTGTTAACATTTTACAATCTAGTACTTGTAAAGCATTTAGAATAGTGTTTTGCACATGGGAAATGTTTAAGAATGTTAGCCATGACTATTGTTAATCATCACAGTTGTCAGATGTGACTTGGCTTTCACTAAACCACTTGGATTTTGTCATCTCTGAAGACATTGCTTATACTCCAGTGCATGTAGATACTGAAGAGCACTTCCTGTGTTGAAAATAGAATCTAGCACTTCTACAGATAGAACCCTGTGTTTATTTTTTTTATTTCCATAAAACTGAGAAATTCATATTTCTTAGAATAGCATCTCTAAGAAGATGCTAATGGAATGCCAATCTCTAATGGAAAAGTATAATCAGATGCATTTAGAGAGGGAAAACCTGCTCAAAAATACCTGGATTTGCCAGAACACTCACTTCAGTCTAGTTAATACTTAATTTCTCTCCTCTCCTCATTTTGTGTGAAGATAAACTCTGTTCATAATGCCTTAGTGAAATATATTTTTCATTTCAGGAACACTTGACATTCAGGGATGTGGCCATAGAGTTCTCTCAGGAGGAGTGGAAGTTCCTGGACCCTGCTCAGAGGGCTTTGTACAGGGAAGTGATGTTGGAGAACTACAGGAACCTGGTCTCCCTGGGTGAGGATAACTTTCCTCTAGAAATAGGGGTCTGCCCTTGTGTGTCTTTGCATTTGATCTTGTGTGCCTCTTGGGAACCCCTGCATTATATAACTGAGACTGAAGCCTTGTCGACTCAGAGATGGAAGCTCTGTAATGCAGCCTCTGGCCTTTCAGCATCCCTCTTCTTTAGGTGTTCTGCAGCATTCATGATACAGCAGTGATGGTTGCAGACATGAAATATGCATAGACACCGACTGCAGACTTACCAAACACCCAGTTCTGTATTTTCTGAGCCTATGCTTTTGACTCTAATTCTGGGGACAGATATCTTCATTTTATAGCATTCTTTAAACTTTCAGAATGAGGCAATCAGTGGATGAGTTTGTGAGATAAAATTCTAGATTCAGTTGTTATGTCCTCTATTCTCACATGGACATAGGTGGGGATTCTGGAAGAATTTAGAGTGTATTGTTCCTTGCATTTTATGAGGAGGATATTCTTTTCCTGGCCTGAATTTTAGCTCTATGTTAGAAACAGGGGAAAAGCCTAGTGTGTGGAGAGAAAAGTGAAAATAGGAAGGAAACAGAAGCTATAAGAAAGTATCAGAGGTTTCTTGGAACATCTGTGAATTCACAGATGAGAATCTCTCGGCACGATGGAGGAGTATATGGGAAAATAAAAGTTATCATTTCCTTCTTCCTGCCATATTTTTGTTTAGTTTGGGTTTTTTCCTAATTCATTGAGGTATAAATGAGATTATTAATTTGAAACATTTGTTCTATTTTTATGTAATCATATGTAGTTATAAATTTCCTTATTAGGAGTGCTTTTACTGCATTCCATGAGTTTTGGTGTGTTGTGTGTTCTTTTCTTTCAACTCAGATATTTTCTAATATCCCTTGCAATTTCATCTTCTCATAGGTTGATAGAAGAGTGTTGTTTCATTTCCACGTATCTTCGGAATTTTGTTTTATTTCTCTTAATCTCTAATTCCACTGTGATAGGGAAAGGTAGTTTGTATGATTTGGGTCTTGTGAAATTTTTAAAAACTTATATCATGGGCGACGCCTATGGCTCAGTGGGTAGGGTGCAGGCTCCATGTACTGAGGGTGGCAGGTTCGAACCCGGCCCCTGCCAAACTGCAGCAAAAAAATAGCCAGGCATTGTGGCGGGCACCTGTAGTCCCAGCTACTTGGGAGGCTGAGGGAAGAGAATCCCCAAAGCCCAAGAGCTGGAGGTTGCTGTGAGCTGTGATGCCATAGTACTCTACCGAGGGAGACAAAGTGAGACTCTGTCTCTAAAAAAATAAAATAAAATCTTATAACATGGGGTCTATTCTGCAATTGTTCCTTGTTCACTTCAGAACAATGTCCATTCTGCTGTTTAGGTGGTTTGTTGTCTATAAGTCTGTTAAGTACAGTTAGTCTCCAGTGATCTTTATATCATCTGTTTCCTTATTTATCTTCCAGGGTATGTTTGGTTTGTTTTTGTTTTCGTTTAAGAGAACCAAGGTTTGCTCTGTTTCCCAGCAGGCTGGAGTACAATAGTATAGTCATAGTTTACTGCAGCCTGGGGCTCATAGATTCAAGTGATCTTTCTATCTCTGCCTCCTGAGTAGGTACGACTGCAAGCATGCACAATCATGCTGGGCTAATTGTAAAATTTATTTGTAGAGATGGGGTCATGCTATATTGCCCAGGTTGGTCTCAAACTCTGACCTCAAATGCTCCTCCTGCCTCAGCCTCCCAAAGTGCTGGAATTACAGGTGTGAGTCACCATGCTCAGCCTCCTGCTTTTATTATTTTCCACTGTCCTTTTTTGTTATAACTTTGACTTAAAGTTTATTCTGTCCCATACTGCCATAGCCATCTCTCCTTTCTTTTGATTATTGTGTACATGGAATATCTTTTTCTATTTTTTCTTGTATGTGTTCCTACAGCAAAAATGAGTCTGTTATGGATTGTTAGATTCTGTTTTCTTCTCCATCCATCTAATCTATGTCTTCTGATTACAGAGTTATACCATTTACATTAAAAGTACTGATAATGGAAGGCCTAACTGATGCTATTTTGTTACATATTATTTTTCTCTTGTACAATTTTTATCTTCATTTCTTTCTTGGTTCTTTTGTTCATATTTCCCTGATTTTTGTTTCTGATGAATAGACTTTGATGTCCATATTATTTCCTTTTTGTATATCATACAGATAGAATCTTGTGGTTATTATTGTCAGCACATAAAATATCTTAAACTTACAACTCTCCATTTTAAACTGATAAAAATTTAACTTCAGTCAACAGACAACTGGGACTTCTTTTTGGCTCCCCCTTATGTTATTGATGACAGAAATTCTATATGTGTTTTATTTATACTAGCACATAGTTAGTGTTTATATGGGGGGGGTTGCTTCTGTTTTGCAGAGAAATATATTAAAGGATATTAATGAAGATATAAAAATGCAGGTTTCTAGATTTCTCTACTTAACATTTATTGGAGAATTTTATATATTTTAAAAGTCACTTTCAGCATCTTTTAGTGTGGTCTTTTTTTGCATCTTTTAGACTTAACATCAAGTACCCCATTAAGGATTTCTTGTAGGGCAGTTCTGCAGTGCTAGTGATCCTCTTCAGCTCTTTATCTGGAAATGTTTAGTTTAGATCTCTCCTTTTGTGAAATACTTAATTATCAATATTTTGTGCTTTTTTCCCCCATTTTATATTTACATTATAAAATAGCGTGTTTTGAAATAAGGATGGTTTGGGTACCCATGGTCTTTGGTTAGGGTGCAGGCCACATGTTCCAGGGCCGGTGGTTTCAAACCTGGCCCCAGCCTGCTAAACAAAACAAAACAAAAATAGCTGGTTGTTGTGGCTGGTGCCTGTAGTCCCAACTGCTAGGGAGCCTGAGGCAAGAGAATCACTTGGGTCCAAGAGTTTGAGGTTGCTGTGAGCTATGATGCCATGGTACTCTACCCAGGGTGACAAAGTGAGACTCTGTCTCAATTTTAAAAAAGGTGGGAGGGGAGAAAGAAATAAGGATGGCTTATGGAATGGTGAAATTGAAGTGGCTGTCAATGCATCATCTCATATATTTATGGGGTTTTTTATAGTTGGAACATTTAAGATAGACTCTGTTAAGTGACTTTCTAGTGTTTTTTGGTTTTGTTTTGGTTTTTTTTTGAGACAGAGTCTCAAGCTGTTGCACTGGGTAGAGTGCTGTGGTGTCACAGCTCATAGCAACCTCAAACTCTTGGGCTTCAGCAATTCTCTTGTCTCAGCTCCCAAGTAGCTGGGACTACAGGTGCACACTACAATGCCCAGCTGTTTTTTTGTTGCAGTTGTCATTGTTGTTTAGCTGGCCTGGGCAGGGTCCCAACCCACCAGCCTGGGTGTATGTAGCTGGCTTCAGGCAGTGCCCTTTTTTTTTTTTTTTTTTTTTTGAGACAGTCTCACTCTGTCGCCCTGGGTAGAGTGTCCTGGTGCCAAAGCTCACTGCAACCTCAAACTCTTGGGCTCAAGTAGTCCTCTTACCTGAGCCTCCTAAGTCGCTGAGACTATAGGCACCTGCCACAATGCCCCACTAGTTTAGTTTTCCTGTTTTTAGTAGAGACAGGTTCTCTCTCTTGCTTAGGCTGGTCTCTGAACTGAGTTCAAACAATTCATCTTCCTTGGCCTCCCAGAGTGCTGGTATTACAAGTGTGAGCCACCAGGCTCAGCTTAACTAGTTTTTATTGTTGTTACTATGACAAGTTATTTTTCTGTTGTTGCTATCAAGATTCTCCCTTGTTCTCTGAGTTTTAATAATTCATTTAAATGAACGTGTCTGTATGATGGTGTCTTTGGGTTCATTCTAGATGGAGTTGATGAATTTCTTGACTTTGTATGTCCATTTTTTCCAACAAGTCTGGAACATTTTTACCATTATACCTCCAAATAACCATTTAGAACTTCTCTGTTCTCCTCTTGGGACTGTTGTGGTGTATATATTGTTCTGCTTCTTAGGAAACGAAAAGTCAATAAGGCTCCATTTGGTTGTCTTTGTTATTTTTTTCATTTTTCTCCTTGGACTCTATAATTTTCAATAACTTGTATCAAGTTTGCTCATTCTTTTTTCTGCCTTATTTACTCTGCTCTTAAACTATTCTAGTAAAAATGTCAATTATTTATTCAGAATTTCAGTCTGGTTCTCTTTTATAGTTTGTTTCTTTATTGATATTCACATTTTGTGATTACTTTTTCTTCCCTGATCCTGTTTATTTGTCTATATTTGGTTCCTGTTAGTTCCTTGAACATCTTTAAGACAGCTTTTCTTCTAAGTAATTTGGAGAACTTTGTTTCTTTAGGATCAATTTCTGGCCTTTTTTTTTTT